GACAGTTATTACATAAGGTAACCAGGAACAACAATATGGAACACTTCACAAATTTGCATGTCATCCTTGCGCAGGGGCCATGTTATTCTTCTGTGTATCATTCCAATTTTAGTATATGTGCTGCCTAAGCAAGCTCAAGGCACTGGTAGGACGAGTTCCTATTTGAATGGCGTAGTAAGCACTGCCGCTTATACTCAGTTATTGTTGGCCATTTAGATTGTAATCAGAGTCTTAAAGTTTATCCTGAAGGTTTTAAAGCATTTCAAGCACTGTTTCAAAACAAATTTTAATAGGAGTGTAATAGGTATTAAAATGTTGACTTTATGTGAGCTATCAGAAAAACAAAAGAATCATATATGCCAGTATTCAGAAACCATTTTTGCATCATATATATATATTTTTTGTGATAAGTCCTAATTTCCTCAATGTTACACATCACCTATCAGATCTAAGTGCTGATTGTTGCCTGTTTCTTCCCCAGGTGGAAGGATATAAAATGGCCGCTGACAAGAATCTGGTAAGAAGGATGGATTGGCAGTTCAAATAATTTTTTTAGTTGAGCCTGTAAATACAGAATAAATATTCCTCTTCCTTTGCTACTAGGAGATTGCTGACAAATCCCAAAAGGTTCTGGAGAAGGAGAAGAAAAAGTCAGCCCGACTGTGGAGGAGGTGAGTTCAGTAGCCAATCAATTATTCTTAAATATGTTTGTGCTTACAACGAGATAACAATGAAGGCCTTATTTCAATTAGTCCCTGGAAAACCAAGGGAAGGTTGTACAGCTGAATGAAAATGGCTCTCCAGATTCCACAGAGTAAGAATCTGGCAGATGTGAATGAACAAAGACAGAAGGAGCAGTGGTTGGCAGCCATGGTTGAACACGTGGAGGAGAGGAAGGTTCTAGCCCAGTAAGTATTGACTCTGCTGAGGAGCAAGTGGAATTCATTCATTCACAGCACGGCTGATCAGGCCACAGAGTGAGAATCTGGCAGAATGAACAAAGACAATTTTCTTATTTTTTCAATGAGAAAATTAATTTAGTTAAAAGTAGTGGACATCAAATGTAAAAATATTTCAAAATAAAAAACACACATTAGCATTACAGACAAAAGGAAAAGAGTAAGGGTTTGTGTTACATTCCATTTAGCTGAATGAAAAGCAGCAGCAATTTGATGATATCTTCACATATCTAATTAAAAGATTGAACATACACTTAGCTAAACCTGTTAAAAAAAACTTGGATAAATTAATTGCAAACTGGATAAGCTAGCTAGCTAGCTGTCTAACATAACATGAACTAGCTTGCCAGCAGCTAGCTAGCTCCAGTTGAACAACACATACTGTTCGCCACTGCTACTGCCGGGGTGTTTCCTCTTAAGATGCTTCAGCATGCTGGCTGTGCTCCCATGGAACGCCAGCTCTGCTTTGTAAAGGGGAGAACGGGTTTGGTTGTCACATTCAATGCATGTCGCTCCCTGGAAGGTGCTGTTAAAAAATGTTGGTATTCAAATTTTCAAAAGTGGAGTGAGAGGTCAGCCGGAAGGTCATTTCAGCAGTAAGACACTTGACACTGAGGTGAGAGGACTTTTGTGTTTTTCATGTCAAAATGTTAATATCCAGCTCTTTGGTGTTTCTCTTCTTCTCTTTGGCTTTTACACAATGGGTTTATCATTAAACAATTATTACCATTAAAAAGGATGAAGGGAGAGCTATAGTTTAGATTGGTTTTTTCATGTCTATGCTACATCATATAGTGATTAGCTTTAGCGCTAGCAAAAAATCCCAGTTGGGGTGCTTGTCACATTTTCTTTGGGGTTGGTTGTCACATGTGTTGACATATACATACATAGTGTTATATATCTGGTCTTTTACTTCTTTTTATATAGAAAAATGGGCAGGAACTGTGACTCAATGTGACAGTGACTGAGTGCAAAGTCAAATGATATGAAAAATTCTGTGACCAAGGATGAGTTTAGTATTACTGTACTTTTTATTGTAACTCAAGTCAACATGCACTTGAATGAATTAACTTGATGGTTTGTCAGAATGGGTATGAGTGATTATTACGATGCACGAGAATGCCTTGGAAAACTTACCCAAGTTTAGAGCACTTACGAAATCAGTACTAAACCGATGAAAAAACTGACATACGAAAACGATGGTTGGGGTTATATCATACGCAAGTCCCAAAACACATGTTAATCACCCAGGATGCTTCTCATTGAGTGCCATGGATAAGGAAAGAACACTTGAGCTAAAACAACACTGGCTAATACTTTTTACCCCCCATGCAGGGTCTTGTGTGGTGCTGGGACCATGTGGGCCACCCTGCTGGTGGAGCATAGGAAAAAATGGACCATGGAAAGGACCTGCTGAAGAATGCAGGCATTGACCCCGCTACCTCTCGCATGCTAAGCGAGCGCTCTACCTTTTGAGCTAATTCCCCACTGCCTGAGAGGGCCTCACTCCGTCTGTTGGATCTCTGCATGACCTTCTAAGAAGCGGCAGGATGGGAGAGCACTTTTTGGGTATTGGCGCCCCCTATGGTCATTGCCCTGTAGGTTCTCCCCTGTAGGACTCTGAATCTAGTGATCCGAGTTCAAATCTTGATGGGACCTTTGCTCTTCTCCTGCCTGGTTTTTTGACGCCATGTGGCTCCATTGCTGTCTCTGCTTGGATACATGTTTCCCTGTTTTTGGTGGAGCTGACTGCACATGTGAGACAGTGCGCCGGCCGGTTAGCTCAGTTGGTTAGAGCGTGGTGCTAATAACGCCAAGGTCGCGGGTTCGACCCCCGTACGGGCCAAGGCTTTTTGGTGGTCGTATGTTACATTTCATAACATAAAAAAAGTCTCTCCCTACCAGGGAATCAAATCCCAGTCTCCTGTGTGATACACAGGGATACTCATCACTATACTAATGAGGATGAGCACCAAAGGAGTTTTGCTAAAGTTAGAATACTGCCCATGAGTACGCCATCCGATCGTTTGTGTACGAGGAAACATGTACCTCAAATCCTTGTAGCATGTGCCGAAATAGCTCAGTTGGGAGAGCGTTAGACTGAAGATCTAAAGGTCCCTGGTTCAATCCCGGGTTTCGGCAGTGCTGTGATTGTGCAGCAGATGCTGATGTTTTGATGGCAGTCAAATGCCCACTTACCTTGCAACAGCACTTTGCCATCAACCCCTGGGGGAGTAGCTCTTGACAACAGAACACAGCATTTGCAACAAGTGGGCAGTCAGTTAGCAAAACTGCAGGAGCACCCCACCCATCCTGCCAGCCCAAAGATGCCCCCTTCTCCCCCCATAGCCACTCCCACAAATGGCTACACTTCAAAACATATTTTTGAAACGCATCTCCACAGTCACATATAACTAGGGTTATATGAAAGATGACCCCTATGGCCAATGGTTGATTATGTCATATGCAAGTCCCAAACGCATGAAAAGCAGCCAGGATCTTGCTCAAGGAGTGCAATGCATAGGAAAGCAACACTTGAGCTACTGCTCTTCCAACTATCACGTATGAGAAAAGTTATACATCCTATGACTCCTACTGTTCGGCTTATGGCTTGGGTTGTATTATGTGTAAATCCTTTGCGCGTAAAAATTAGGGAAAATGCTGCTCCCTGAGGGCGATGGATAGATTACTGCCTGAGAAACAAGGTTTGAGATCCTGCGCTTGCCTACAAGAGAGAACATCCCACGATTGTGTGTAGCTAGGGTTATACTTAAAAGGACCCCTATTGTTTGGCCTACGATTGCAGTTGCAACATATACAAGCCCTAAAGACATAAGAGGCAAGATGTTGCTCTGTGAGCAAGAAAATCCAACCGTCATGTGTGAAAAGGGTTACACTTGAAATGACCCCTATTGTTTGGCCTGTGGTTGCAAAATCTCATAAAAAGATTGAACGTACACTTAGCTAAGCCTGTTTAAAAAACTTGGATAAATGAATTGCGAACTCGATAAGCTAGCTAGCTAGCTGTCTAACATAACATTAACTAGCTTGCCAGCAGCTAGCTAGCTCCAGCTGAACAACACATACTGTTCGCCACTGCTACTTCCGGGGTGTTTCCTCTTAAGATGCTCCAGCATGCTGGCTGTGCTCCCATGGAACGCCAGCTCTGTTTTGTAAAGGGGAGAACGGGAGAACGGGGTTGGTTGTCACATTCAATGCATGTCGCTCCCTGGAGGGTGCTGTTAAAAAATGTTGGTATTCAAATTTTCAGAAGTGGAGTGAGAGGTCAGCAGTAAGGTCATTTCAGCAGTAAGACACTTGACACTGAGGTGAGAGGACTTTTGTGTTTTTCATGTCAAAATGTTAATATCCAGCTCTTTGGTGTTTCTTAGCTATAGTTTAGATTGGTTTTTTCATATCTATGCTACATCATATGGTGGTTTGCTTTAGCGCTAGCAAAAAATCCCAGTTGGGGTGCTTGTCACATTTTCTTTGGGGTTGGTTGTCATTGTGTGATATATCAGGTCTTTTACTTCTTTTTATATAGAAAAATGGGCAGGAGCTGTGACTCAATGTGACAGTGACTGAGTGCAAAGTCAAATGATATGAAAAATTCTGTGACCAAGGATGAGTTGAGTATTATTGTTCTTTATATTGTAACCCAACTCAACATGTACTTGAATGAATTAAATTGATGGTTGGTCAGAATGGGTATGACTGATTATTACGATGCACTTAGTCCTGAGAATGCCTTGGAAAACTTTCCCAAGTTTAGAGCACTTACGAAACCAGTACTAAACCGATGAAAAAACTGACATACGAAAACGATGGTTGGGGTTATATCATACGCAAGTCCCAAAACACATGTTAATCACCCAGGATGCTTCTCATTGAGTGCCATGGATAAGGAAAGAACACTTGAGCTAAAACAACACTGGCTAATACTTTTTACCCCCCATGCAGGGTCTTGTGTGGTGCTGAGACCGTGTGGGCCACCCTGCTGGTGGAGCGTAGGAAAAATGGACCATGGAAAGGACCTGCTGAAGAATGCAGGCATTGACCCCGCTACCTCTCCCATGCTAAGCGAGCGCTCTACCTTTTTGAGCTAATTCCCCACTGCCTGAGAGGGCCTCACTCCGTCTGTTGGATCTCTGCACGACCTTCTAAGAAGCGGCAGGATGGGAGAGCACTTTTTGGGTATTGGCACCCCCTATGGTCATTGCCCTGTAGGTTCTCCCCTGTAGGACTCTGAATCTAGTGATCCGAGTTCAAATCTTGATGGGACCTTTGCTCTTCTCCTGCCTGGTTTTTTGATGCCATGTGGCTCCATTGCTCTGGGCTGGCCGGTTAGCTCAGTTGGTTAGAGCGTGGTGCTAATAACGCCAAGGTCGCGGGTTCGATCCCCGTACGGGCCAATCCTTTTTGGTGGTAGCACATTACATTTTTGTAAAGTAAAAAAAAGGGCAAGACTCTCGCCATCAGGGAATCCAACCCCAATCTCCTGCATGATAGGCAGGGATACTCACCACTATACTGACTAGGATGAGGTTCTTGTAAGACTTGCTAAAGGTAGAATACTGCCCACACGAGTTCTCTGTCCGATCATACGCATACGAGATAGCACATCCCTCCAGGCTGGGCAGCACAGTTGGGAGAGAGTTATTTATTTTTTTTTATACTTTATTTTTTTTAAGTGCAAAATTAACAAAGAGAGACAAAACATAAGAACCATACAAATAAGAACATACAGGTCATTGAGGGAAATCAATCATTTTGTCTCAGAAAAGAAAGAAACACATTACAGAGTAGGGTCACAAGAAAAAAACCACAGGTGAAAGATGAAAAGGATAGGGAGCCAGCATAGTCCAAATAGTCAGGGGGGGGAGACCCTCCAGGGTAAGTCCATCGACACATCTGTCACAGCACCAAGGGCAGACGGTTCAGTATGAAAAGGAAAGAAGGGAGCTGTTCTATTCTGCTCTCTCATTTGCATACAAAAGCCATTTTGACCAATACTTTTGGGCTTTATTACGATTCATTCTTAAAGAGAAAGTTAACATTTCCATTTCGTGTATATCTTTTACCGTGGCTGACCACTCTCCCACCGTTGGTGGCTCTCTGTTAAGCCATTTCCTAGTTATTGGTTTCTTGCCAGCTGTCAGTAATATCTTCAGAAGATACTTATCCTGGGACGTAAGGTCAGTTGGTAAATTGCACAGATATACAGTTTGAAAATTGTACTCAATGTCAAAACCAAGAATTGAGTTTATTTCTTTAACAACGTCTAGCCAGTAGTGTTGAATTATTGGACAGCACCAAAAGATGTGACTGTGATCAGCCATTACATTATTACAGTGTCTCCAGCAATGCCCAAATTCTGTTCTGCCTGTCTGTAAATATTTTCTTCTTGGGGTAGTAAAAAATCTTCCATGCAAATTCCCTCCACTTCCCTGAACTGGTGGTGGAGGAGTTTATTTCGCATATGTTTAGCCACTCGTCTTCTGTCAAGGTTATGTTTGCTTCCTTCTCCCAATTACATTTTACATATGATGTTGACTTTTTTTGTTAAGTTGTAGGCATAGGTATATTCTGGAGACCACTTTCTTATGAACTTTACCTTTGTATGCATCAGAAACAATGTTAATGAGGTCCATGTCACCTTCTTTTAAAATTTTTATATCTCTATCAAAATGATGCCTAAGCTGCAGGTATCTGTAAAAATCTTGTTTGTCTAAATCATGGTTTTTCTGTAGCTGATGGAAACTGTACAGGCCTGTATCAGATGAGATTACACAGTATGAAGTAATGCCTTTTTGGGTCAGTTCCTTAAATCTCCTATCCAACTGGGCTGGTAAGAAATCTCTGTCATGTACGACCCACCTTAATAGCCGAGTTTTCCTCTCTAAGTTTGAATTGCTGACCTCTTTGAACCAGATATTAAGGGGAGTTTTTGTGAGGTTGCTTAATTTATTTAAATACATAGTCTTGAGGGTTTTGTCCCGCAGTAAGGATTGAAGAGGAATATCAAGTTGGTTTAGCTCCAGTTCCTTCCATTTTGCATCATAATCATCTTTACAACAATAGACAACATACTGCAGCTGCGTGACTTTGTAGTAGTCCTCTAGACATGGGAGTGACATCCCGCCCTTCTCTTTTGGCAAGTGTAATGTTTTATAGCGTACCCTTGGTTTTTTGTTCTGCCATATGAATCTGGAGATGATCCGGTTCCATTCATTAAACTGCTTAGCTGGTACTTCAACTGGCAGCGATTGAAAAAGGAATAACAATTGAGGTAATATAACCATTTTTATAGTTTCTATTCGGTTATATAGATCGAGTGTCAGAGGAGTGCATCTGTCCAAGTCATTTTTAATTTTGTTTGTGTTGACCGTAATTTGCATTCTATATACCTTCGTAGGTCTTGGGAATATTAACTCCTAAATATTTCAGAGTTCTGGTTTTCCATATAAATTTAAAGGTTTTATGTATGCTTTCCTGAGGGAAGTAGTTAAAAGAAAGAGTCTGAGTTTTCTTTATGTTCAATTTGTATCCTGAATAGAAACCATATTGGTCGAGGCTGGACATCAGTTTAGGGAGACTGGTGTCCGAGTCGGACAGAGTCGCCAGAATATCACCTGCGTACAGACATGTCTTATATTCCCTTCCCTTGAATGCGATTCCCTTAATTTCTGGGTCTTCCCTGATTTTTTGGGCAAGTGGCTCTATAAATAGAGCGAACAGGATGGGGCTCAGTGGACAGCCCTGCCAGCATCCCCGCTCCAAAGGGATTGTACCTGAAAGACTGCCGTTTATTCTGATTCGGGCAACTGGTGATTTATATATAGATTTAAAACAACTTATAACCATATCCTTAAAGCCAAAGCATTGTAGGGCCAAATATAAAATTTCCCACCGCACAGAGTCAAAGGCTTTTTCTGCATCAAAGCTAATTGCTAGGGACCTTGTGTTATTTCTGCTCATAGTATCCATCAGATATATTGCTCGCCTAACGTTGTCTTGTGTACGCCTGTCTTTAACAAACCCCGTCTGGTCCGTATCAATCAAGTCAGGGATAATATTTTCTAGCCGACTAACAATAATTGAGGTAAATATTTTGTAATCGGCATTCAAAACAGAAATAGGTCTATATGAGCTGCACTCTGTTCGGTCTTTTCCTGGTTTCGGTATTACGGATATTATGGCTTTTTTCCAAGATGGTGGGGTTTCGCCCTTTATCACATAGTTAAAGCATTTTAATAGCAGTGGGGTCAAGGAGTCCCTAAAAGACTTATACCACTCTGCGGGTAGTCCGTCGCCCCCTGCTGCTTTGTTTGTTTTCAGTTTAGAGATGGCCTTGTCTATATCTGTTAGTGTAATATCAGCAGTTAACCGCTTGTTTTGTTCTATACCGATAAATGGCAAGTCTAAAGATTCTAAAAACTGCTTTACTAAGGCGGGTTCTGCTAATTTGGGTTGAGTGTATAAATTCCTGTAGTATGTTTCAAATGACCTATGTATTTCTTCTGGTTTAAAACACATCTGGTTGGTGACAGGGTCCTTTAATTTATAGATGGATCTCTCAGACTGCTGTTTCCTCAGTCTCCAAGCCAGTGTTTTTTTTTGCTCGAGGTCCGTTTTCATAATAGGTTTGTTTGACATACTTAAGTTTGAGTTCCACCTGATCGTTAAGTTTCTTATTTAGTTCTGATTTTACAGCAGATATTTGTTCCATTAAGGCAGGGTCATTACACTCTACATGCTTCTGTTCCAGTAAGTCCAATTTATTTGTCAAGTCATTGAGTTGCTTAAGTTTTTCTTTTTTCTTTTGTGATGTCCACATTATAATTTTCCCACGCAATACTGCTTTCCCAGCATCCCATAAGATGCTTGGTGAAACATCGGTGCTACTGTTAAATTCCATGTAGTCCCTTGTTTCTTTTTTAATAAAGTCCTCAAACTGATTATCATTTAATATAGAGGTGTTAAGTCTCCAAATGGTATTTTTGTTTGGGACGTCCAAATGAATTTTCATGTACACTCCCGAGTGATAAGATATATCTCTAACACCGATGTTGCACTCTAGCACCCTGTGTCTGTCTGTTCTAAACATAAAAAAATAGTCAATTCTAGAATAGAATGCATGGGGATGAGAATAAAAAGTAAATTGTTTAGCAAGTGGATGAAAGTCCCTCCAAACATCAATTATACCGATCCCTTTAATCATTTTCTTAATATATTGAGACTCAGAGCTAATTCTTTTTGTTGTGTTTGTAGAATCTAGGGTGGGATGCAACTGTACATTCCAGTCCCCACCACAGATCAAGACACCGGAGACTTCTGTAGTTAACAAGTCAAGTATTCTATTAATTAGCGTCTTGTCCTATCCTGGTGGTTCAATTCTGGGTTTCAGCAGCAATGTAATTACACAGCAGATGCTGATGTTTTGATGGCAGTCTAATGCCCACGAACCTTGCGACAGCACTTTGCCATCAACCCCTAGAGGAGTAGCTCTTGACAACAGAACACATCATTTGCAAGAATCGGGTAGTCAGTTAGCAATACTGCAGGAGCACTCCACCCATCCAGCCAGCCCAAGGATGCCCCCATAACCACACCCACAAAAGGCTGCTGTTCAAAACATATCTTTGAAACGCATTTCCACAGTCACATGTAACTAGGGTTACATGAAAAATGACCATCATCAAATTCCAAGGGATTCTTTCTGTCATTGTATTTGTTCCCAAGAAAGGACACAGCAAATCCTCTCATAGTTGGTGGAGCAGCAAGACGAGAAAATCAGTTTCTCTTCCCATGCAGTCTTGGAGAGTGGAATATGGAGTGCTTGCTCAATTTGCCCCAACACTGGTGGCACATTTTACCTCCGTTTCATAAAAGTTCTTGATGCACTTATGCTAACTCACTTCTGTGCTACGTTTATGACCTCAATTTGTAGCTAACACAGTGAGGAACAGTGAGTATGCAATGACGTCCCAAACATTTATTTCTGTTAAGATTCAAGATTAATGGCATGTTCATCATGATGAATTCACTTTGCATGACAAAAATCATGTTTTTGGTCCTGGTTTGCTTACCACCCTTTCCACATGCTAATCGC